GATTGTGAGTGACAGCTGGAAATAGATCGAAGAGTTTACCTGCATTGGCAGCGAGTATGGTTTTACCACTGGCCTATTTAGCTGCAGATCTTTGCGTTAGTTTCCTTAATTCTTTCAATATTTTTCTGAATTTTACAGATTACTTGGAGCAAGCCATGCAAAACACGTCCGATTGACGTCTTCTGTGAGTCTATTTGGTGTACTGTACTTTGCCGTTTCTGCTGCCTGTATCTTTATTCATTTGCGGTCATGCAATTAAACTTGCATGTTATTTTGAAAGAAAACCTTTACTACAAATATGATAATAGAAGTTGGGTACTCGAGGATATCTCAAAACTGACCCAATGATTTGTGATGTTTTTGATCACACGTAGAGATAACTCGAACGCTTTCTCCTAAGCCAGAGCCGTTTCTGACAGCGAATCCGCGTCAATTCGAGAAAAGGCAATTTTTTGCGGGTAGCGCGGGGAGTTAAGACCAAAATTTTAGGTGACTTTACAGATGTTTTCCTCAAAACTACGAGCGTCGCTTCATGTATTTGTGCTGTGCAACACTATCATCAAATTGCAGGAGTAAACCGCGAAATTCATAGCTAGGAAGGTATAAGTGATACTGAAGAGCCAAAAATAAATTAAGGCAGGAAGTCATGTAAGTATGGACGGGATTGACGAGGATTTTAGACGACAATATTTAAAAATGTTCTGCCATATTTTTCTAAACATGCAGAAACCTAGAACTACAGCTAATTTAACAAATTAAAAAAAAAAAGAACCCGGCCTTAGGGACGGTCTACCCCTCGAAGCTCTAACGTGCAAGACGAATTACTCAATGAATCAATTTGGTCTTCGGTTTACAAGTAACAGAAAGTCATGTTTGGTTTGAAACGAAATTCTTATTTTAATTAGGTTCACATGATACCACTTTTAAGTTTCGAAAGTGGAAATTAAGTATCAAGTGGAAGTACGACAAACAAGAGAGCACAACTCGGAAGAACGTTTGTAGTTTCACACAGGAAATGAAATATGATTGGAGAACGAACTGGTACTTTGATCCTGTTGCTGGAAGGAAATATACACCAGCTAATTGCGCCAAGTTACGTCAGATTAAACATCAGAGAATGATCACTTGATTTCAATGTTGTATGTGGCGTATTTTAAAATACTGATCTTTTCGAATGAGTTGTTTTCCTAAGGAAAGCTTCTAGTGTACAATTGGATGCTACGAACCGACAGAAGTGTAACCTCAAAATTGCAAAATAATTGACATAAAAATGACGTGGAGCACAGCTGATATGAGTGGTTTAGATAGCAAAAGTTTTTAATAGCACAAACATTTATATTTAGAAATTTTGTTATTTGTTCAAGATCAAAAAAGCATGCGATCCTCCATTTCCTTCCGCAGTTTAAAGGTTGCTATGAACGTGACAAATCATCGCGTCTAACACTCGTCAGACCTCCAGCACTATACTTCTATCACAGTTCTGTTCAAAAGTAAACATTTTGCCCCCGAAACAAGTCTCATAAGTGGAATTCGGCTAGTTTGAGCACTCGCTCTATAGAGCGGGAATAAAAATAACTCGACGTCGCTCGTCATTCCGACAATTTGCTAGCTACCATGACGTGGCAAAAGTCTTGGCATTCCCTACTACTTTCGGAATTCATTAATGTTGCGTGATGTTACAAAATGGTCTCAAATTTCAGTTAACACTGTCTAAAGGAAGGGAAGGCTTGAAATTATCCTATAAGAGATGAATTACAAGATTTCTGATTTTTATGCTGAGTAGAGGGTTGTCGCGATCAACAACCTAAAAAGGGAAGGCGCACCAACCGCGTTTGTCTCTCATTATATTCTCGATGCTTAAGTCTCGGGATCTACCACCTTACGTAACTCCCTCGTCGGGAAATAAGAATCATATTGATTAGCCGGTAGAACAGATTGGTCCCGATTTCGTCAATGACTCCGACGTTTATAATCTAAAGAAAGCTCTACTTTTGGAAGATAACATTTCATAGAATCATCCAATCACATTGCCAGTTCTCAGGCCCTTCGAGTGCACACGAATTCTACAGCATGACGAGCTATGCGTCGGAAAAAATTTTATGCAAATTAGTTGGCTACACATTAAATGTGCAGCTAGCTAATTTGCATAAGTAACTCAAGCCAAGGTTTGACGCCTCTTGGTGGCATGAGGTGTTCGATGAACATTCCAGGACATCCGATAATCGCTACAGAAAGGTTAATAAAGCTCCCCTCGAAGGAAATGGGAAAAAACGCAACTTCCGATGATTACATTTCATAAACTCTACTTTGTTCGCTCACTTTCCAGAAACAAGAGTCCAGAGAAATGCTGTATACAAACTTAACGGGTCAAATTCGAAAAAAAAAAAGCGGTACGCTAAGCTTATTTTCTCTGTAAGAGACAATAAATGTCTTAAAAAAGACAACAGTAAATCGTTGACACGAGGTTCCCAAATAGTCCTGACCAAATGTTACAGAGACATATAACAGGAACACTTTAAAACACGTAAAAAGAAGAAACTCAAAAATAGCCTAAAAAGCGGCACCGGTAAAGCTGATTTCACCTCCATGATCGAAGACCTAAGCCCATTTAAGGTTAACTCCAACAAACCCTTCTTTACACAGAAACTGTGTTGATTAGATAATCCAGAGAATACACATCGCTTTCAACTGATGGTCTCCCCGTTTGGTCTACAAGCTTCGGCGCAATGCACCTATTCTTATAATGACCTTTTATGTGCGAAGGTTTTGGTACGGCATTTTTAGCTTTTTCGAAGACATCACTCTTGCCAAAACGATTATACCAGGGGAGAAGCTGGTCTAAAACACCGTTATTGCATTTTAGGTCATTGTGAACAAATTCACTCGTATGAAAATCGTCTACCGTGTAAGGAAGGCAAAGAAGAGGTTAAAAATAACACTCAGGTACACACTACCCAAGAGGGTATAGAACAGATTAAAAATAACCCTCAGGTATATACTACCCGAGAGGGTATAGGAGAGATTAAAATTAACCCTCAGGTATACACTACCCAAGAGGGTATAAAAGAGACTAAAAACAACCCTCAGGTATACACTACCCCAGAGGGTAGAGAAGAGATTAAAAATAATCCTTAGGTATACCCTTCCCAAGAGGGTATAGAAGAGATTAAAAATAACCCTTAGGTTTACACTACCCAAGAGGGTATAAAAGAGACTATAAATAACTCTCAGGTATACACTACCCAAGAGAGTATAGAAGAGATTAAAAATAACCCTCGGGTATACTACCCAAGAGGGTATAGAAGAGATTAAAAATACCTTCAGGTATACACTACCCAAGAGGGTATAGAAGAGATTGAAAATAACCCTCAGGTATACACTACACAAGAGGGTATAGGAGAGATTAAAAACAACCCTCAACTATACACTACCCAAGAGGGTATAGGAGAGATTAAAAGTAACCCTCAGGTATACACTACCCAAGAGGGTATGCAAGAGATTAAAAATAGCCCTCAGGTATACACTACCCAAGAGGGTATGCTACAGATTAAAAATAACCCTCAGGTATACACTACCCAAGAGGGCACGAAAAATTGAATTCACACCAATTTTTATCAGGACACCGCGCTTTGTCTGGAGTCTTTCTTTGAGGCATCCACCGTTAATTTATATAATTATTATCCTTTACTAGTTCCCGAATTTCGTTGTCAAGCTCGGCTATTCTTGACTGAAATCTTTGCAATTTCCCATGATTTTTCGACTGGAGGCATTTCCCGCCTAAAGTATACGGTCGAGAGCGATTTGATTTACCGCATCAACAGCACGATTATATTTTGAGACCTCGCGAATCCATCTGCTGGAATTCTCCTTGTCTGATTAGTCCAGAACAGAGACCAATTGAAGATATAACATACATGTTGTTTGGTTACCTGGCTTTGAACGAAGAGCCTTTGTTGGTGTGCTTGAGACCTGCTAGCGTGAAAGAACGTATTGTAGTTATCGCGGAATCGACGAAACAATTCGTTCTTTGCAAAAGCAATCAGCCTGATTTTACATTAACTTTTCGTTAGCACATACCACTTCTTTTCGGGGTCGAGATTGGATCCCGTAACTATAGAAAGCTCAGCTGATCGATCGAAGACTTCAGCCTCCATGATGAGACGATGAGATCGCGACAAGTAATTCCAATGCAAGATTTATTGTGTTTCGTAATTGACATTCGAGCATAGATGAAGTACTAATTATTTGGTGAACTTTTAACTTATAATCAACAGGTTTAAGTAACCGCACAGACACCTACCGACCGCAAGCGTTCATGCAATTCTCTACACTGATGACAGAAATATAGCACCTTCGCAGAATGCATGCTGCGAATTTTTTCGGGGCCAAAGCTGCTCATGTAGTTTTCACTGCATCAGAGACGACGGCGTCAAAAGCGGTTTCGATATGCCGCTTTCGATTTTAAGTCAGTTTGATTTCCTACAGATCGTACATCGCTCATCGCAGCAAGTTGATAGTCAAACCGTACTTGCGTCTCCGTACCGTTGCAGGGTTGAGCATGTGGTCAAACTAACAATAGAGAACAATAGTCTCCACATGATTTGGCGCAAAAATACGTATGGATACTTCTGCGCAGACCTAACTTGTTCCAAGTTTTACATTTCCGAGAGCGAAACTTAAGGAGAACTGCAAGCTTCTTTGCGTTTACTTCGCGGGATGTTCTGGTACGACTTTATGAACAATATTGAACATGTCCCTTTTTCTGCAACAAACACAAAACGCTCTCTCATCTTGAGTTAAATTTTAGGGGAAAACTTCTCGTAATGGACATAAGGTTTGAAAATTGGGGACCATCACTTGGGATATATCGTCGGATATTTCTCAGTTTTGGCTGGGGCATATTCGGTCACGTGATGAGATTGATTAAGACCAACCGCGCGCAAACAAATACATTTGATGGATTATAAATAACATCAGACTTGGAAGAAGCAAGTGTGACTAAAAAACCTTTTTAATGCATGTAGCAACATCTTATCTACAAATTTTAATCAAAACAAGAATTCAATAGGATTCAGTTGAATTTAGTAAAACGTGGAGATTAACAGAAGAAAAACAAGGGAGGGGAGGATCAGTAAAAGAAGGGGAGTGAGGGGGGCGGCGAGGTTAAAAATGTAAATAACGTCTTTTTATCTGCACAAAGTCTCCACTCAGACTTAAGGTGATTCCTCAGAAAAAAAAGTTATCGAACAATTTTTTAATTATCCTAAAATGTTCCCTACCATTGTCTGTTCGAAAAATACAATAAAAAAGATACGTCACCCTGCTTGTTTACGAGACATATTGGGCCAAACTTACCCCATTTATGCCTGTACTAGCACTAATCACGCGCGTCATTTCATCGGTTCACAGTACATTTTACTGCAGCTAGAAGCAAGGGTATTTAAAGAAACACTTGAAAAACTTGATAGGTAGAAAGTCTCGAGCGTATGGAATAATTTGATATATCATTTGGGAAAATCACGCAAATTCAAATAACACCGACTTAATGTTCCTCAGGTCATTCCTTTCAAGATCATAATTTTCTCAATTTAAGGGGGATAAATTGTACGCCAAAATTATGCAAAAGAATATATATATGTCACTGTGCTCTTTTAAGAACGAAAGACCATCGTACCTTTTTATCGGTCCATGGATTGAAAAACAATACCGTATTCTCGGAATGCGCGCGCGCTCATTCCCCTAATGACGTGATTTTTATGTGCAATACAGGATGCGCGGTGCAAAACTGAGGAATCACCTTAATTTAGCACACTGGGTTATAAAGTAATGTAGCCAAATTGGAACGTTTTACTTAAAAATTTAGGCAGATGAATGTAAGTTCTGCCGGCTGTGGGAAAGGTTCCTTATGTAAACGTGCCGTACAGAGATGGCTGTACTTTGAAAACCTGGGCCAACATAAATATAAACATTATAAAATAATGAAAACATCGTCTCTTTTTACAAAGACAGCACAAAAGACAACCGTGCACACGACGTAAATAAAAACTAAGTTGGCCAATTTAGCTCTTAGCATTGTATTCTCGTATATTTTCAGTCCCACACAGTAAGTAACGGTGAGATGGCTGATCTTTAGTCGAGCATTCTCTTCTAGCTACTATACACTTTCTTCTACTTTGGTAGGAGAGTTTGGACTTCTAACAAAATAGCATCCTATCTTTCCTAATTTTCTCGAATCTCAATCCTTTCCTGCAGGAAGGTTTTATGACTAATTTCTAGAGTAAGAGCGTTGAGGTAACAAGTGTGACTCCAACAGGGCATGGCTTCTTACAGGAAAATAAGTGCAGTTCGTGGAACAAGTCTTCTTTGCTGTGATCGTTTATGTGGATGCTAAACACCAGTCGACTTGAGGAGGTTAGAGTCTGAGTAGGTTCGCTGAGATATGAGTCCAGGGCTCCCTTCAAACGACCCAGATTCAACTGATAATGGGGTGCTTATCAATAATCTGTAAACAAAAGTACCAATTTTCGTCATATTGGGAGCAATTTTCAATCGATTGTCATGGGCAATCAAGGCTTGCATTGGTTTTGCTATACTCTGCTCTTAATTTGGCTCAAAAAATCGTCGAATTTCTTCTAGGTTTTGTAAGTGTTCACAAGGAGTACGAGGTATGTGCCTAATATCGAATGGTGACGAGCGAAGCTAAAAAATAATTTCAGACGCGTTTTGAACTAGGCTGAAAAATGCATAAGAACTTCATAATTCTACGAGTATACAAAATACGACAAATTACGCCAGAAATTGGGGGTTTTTGACTAGCATATTGTGTTAAGAAGTGCATAGACTCGCTGCATTGAAAAGTTAAAGCGTACGTTAAATTCCCTGAGTTTTTAACATGTTCCAACTAAATTGTGCAAACAAAACCGACTCTACATGACCTTCATTACCGGCCACGTTCACTAAGAGCGTTAGAGCCCCCTTTTCGAACTAAGTTAACATCAACTTCTCGCTAATCCGCATGAATTCCCATCAAGAAAATAAAATCTTCCGTCTCAGCTGACTCGAACTGCCGGGTCATCTCAACTACATTTTCGTTTCTTATCAGCGGTAAGCGTCAACTTAGGCTTCACCGTCGAGGTCAACATAACTTAAATGACCAAACTAGACATGACTTCAAATACAACGCTTATGTAATATGCATATAAATACATCTCTGGAAGAAAATCATTGCACAGGAATGAAAATACTCTGCAGTAGTCTACCTGATCACTTGGCAAAAAGCATTATGCTTTACTAAGAGGCCACAATTTACCACATTAATAATAACAAAATACTAGTCTGCGAGATAAATATCAACTGCGGTGGTCATAAACAATAAGTTACGCGGTAATATCTTACATAAAAAGCTGTTCAAGTCACATTCGTTACAAAGGTATAGGGACTGTTTGTTAAATTTTATCAAGTTTTTATTAAAGATGTTAACTATTATAGTCATGTTATAAAATAACCAACGAATTGGTTGACTGTAAAGTTGACTGTTTTATCTCCTTCCAAGTTAGTTACGATATAGTATCAATTGAAGAATATATTTGCAAAAAAAAAAGTTACAAAAGATTTTTTTCTTTTTTTCCCATGAGGAATAGGGAATATTACTTAATCTTTATTTATACTCGCACGTTTTTTTTTCAGATACTTACGAAAAAAGGATATTTTTTAAAAACCATGTTTATAAAAAAAATTATAAAATGCTTAATTTAAGTTATAATTATTATTTTGAGTTGATATTTTATTCTTCATTCTATTCCACTTTATTGGCTATATAGTGTAATTATATGGTCGCACTCTGTGTCTGGTCTCTAAACTTGAGCTCAGGATTCTGCGAAAACTGCTCTGAAGAACTGTGGTTTGAAAAGGCTGAGTGTCAGATGTTCGACGGTACATCATCACACTTTGAGAGCTGAGAATTAAAACAACAGTTTACCGAGTTTTATTTTCTAGTTTGTTAGTAATTAATTTATTTAAATTGCCCCTAATCCGCCGTGTTTATTCATTCATTTATTTGTTTATATGTTCATGTATTTGTCTGTTTTTTTTCATTTATCTTATCATTTATTTATTCATTTTTAATCCTTTTATTGTACATTCATTCACTTATAATTTTATTTATTTATTTATTTGTTTATGATCTTTGTTTTCCTTTCACTTTCAAATGTTTATCTACATTTATATTTCTATTAAAGGGTTCTTGGCAAGTACAGACGAGAGAAAAATAAGGCGAGCGGGGGAATTGCGGGTAGGAAAATGGCTTTTACTCAAACTCTTTCCAAGTCCTATCGCGGTTTCCGTTCGCTCTACGTTCCTCTCCACCGACAGAGACCCTGGCACAAATTTAAGTCAAATTTGAATCAGGTAACACTTACCCGGCACTGGTGCTACTTGGAGGAAAGTGCGGCACTGGTGCGCGTTCTTTCTGCTTCTGTCTCTTTTTCATCAAAAATTTACCTATGGACGACTAAATAGGAAAAAAAAATGGAGATAGTTGCTTAGATAATGAACACTTCTAGACCAAGAAGAATGGGACTGAGTCATTTCTGGAGACAACAGGCAGCGTTTTTGAGTCTGGAAAACGAGGTGGGAAAGGAAGGGGGAGGGGGGTGAGGGGAGAGAGGAGTGCAGACGGAAGCATTTATGAGGTCTGGGTTTGAGTGGATTGCCCCACTAGAGAAACCCCAACGATAGGCCAGTAAAGGTTTACGATATAATAGAGAGTTAGGGCGCGTGTCTAACACGCGTGTTAACCGCGCGAGAATCAAATGTAAGACAAGACCGCAAAAGAAACCTTCACGATCCTCGCAACAACAAACTTGTTAAAGGCGAATACCTTGAGGGCAGATGTTGGTTTTTATGAACAATTTGATAGGGCACCGGCTGAAAGAGACAAAAATTATTGTACCCCGTTCAAACTTTTCATCGATAGCAACATAAACTGAATCCGCTTGTTAAAGTAAGTTTTTGTTATTATTATTTAGTGACGAGGTGAAATCAATGCGTGAGGTTTTTCAGATATTCTGAAATCACACTTAAGACGAGATATATTAAACGAAATATTATATCGGTTCGTAAGGAATTTGATATAAGGATACAAGTCCTGTTTTTTTTCCTTGTTTTTATTGACCAAACGCTTTGAGCCGCAAAAGTACTCAAACATTTAAATTAATGCTTAAATCATTCATTGTCTCTAACTGACTTGGGAAAGCGAGCAGACGAAGACAACGTCAAAATCAAAACAACATTAGACAGAGCTAATTACATATTTACCACAAGGAAATTATTCACACAAAGTCCATTCATATTATCCCAACTGTGTGGTTGACATTTAAAATATACTCTTTCTGCAAACTTCATTTCTCGTGACCGCGGACAGCCAACGAATCGGTAAGAGTTTCGAGGCATTTAGCATCAATATTACATCAACCAAGGTAAATTTGCTCAATTTCCTTGAGAAACATCAAATTCCCATTTTCTCATGATAAACTGGATATCAAGTGGTATCACATTCGCTAAATCACGGCCACATAATCCAGCGTATTTTTCGGAACAATGTCGAAGATCATTGTAAAAACATCGATAGCAAATTCCAATATCAGCAGCATCTCGCGATATAGCTTCGAAAATGCACACACGGTTTCTACATTAGAGACATTTCCTCGCGAAAATCTTACCCAGTCAATAACATTATCTTAATTGCCAATGGACTTTGACACGTCTGTCATAATATGACCTTCGAACAAATTACTCTAAAGGGGATAAAAACATGTTAAATCGTGCCCCGCTTTTTTCCACAATCGTTCCCATACTAAGTATATTGGTCTAGAGTTGTGTGAAATCTAGACATAACGACCATTATGGGCTGGTAACATCAAGATTTTCACAAGCATCATCGCACGGTGGACGCTTCGCGACAAAGCGCGCGATCATGCCTTCGAGGCCAAACTGCCGGAGGAAACAGGAAAGGTTTCCTTTGAAAAACAAACGAAATTTTTCGGAGGAAGAATCCAGTTTACCGATACTGAATCCATGAATAATTGTTCCGCGCTGTAAAGGACAAGCCTTTTTGCTACTACACTGAACATGTGCTACAGAGATACACGTAAGTACGGCTTGGAAAACCAACGAGTTTAAATAGGAAGTCTGAAAAGTGGGTTGTCATTTTCGATCATAATAACAAACACACATTTTGTGTCGATAATCGCTTTTCGATATTATCAAATACGCTTATCTGTTCCGGTTAAATGAACGACTTTTAGATGCATCAAAGGCCTCCAAATCGCCAAAAAAACATGCCCTTTTCTTATTTTAGAAGGAGGTTAAAAAAAAAATGACAGGAATTAATTCATTGATTCTAAAAACACTGATCTCCAGCATGTTATCATGGTACAGCTATGAATTAAGTGTTTACAAAAATTCAAAACATCCGCGCAATAACATGGGAAAAACAAAAATTGTTTTCGCTCCTAAAAGCCTTCAAAACTAAAGCAGTCTAAGGTTAAAAGTGTCAAAGAAAAAACACCTGACAAAACGTTAAGTATGGAATTCATTTTACCAATGAAAACTCGCAGATCGCAAATGTTCTCAGAATTCTCACAGCCGAGAGGCATGTTTCTAAATTAATGTCTAAGAGCAGCTTTAAAATATTTCCGAAGGTGTATGCAATACACCTTCGGGAATATTTTAAGGCAATAAGGCAATGTTGCATAATATTCTAAGGCAATATTGCAAACAACGGTTATTTCTAAAAATATCTCACGCACGTGATAGAATAACCCACAGACATGACTGAAGAAAAGTTCTCCTAAAAATAACAGCACTTCTCATAGATTTTCGATACTTAAACGCGAAACACGTAGGTACATGTAGATAGAAAGGGCATGTATTTGTATTCATAGATGCTTTCTCAAGACAAGGCGTTTTACTCTTCGAGCAGCCAACCGTAAACACCTATCACCAAAATAACTTTATAGCATTGCCAAGTGCTCTTTTAGACTTTGTAAGATAACTTTTCTCGGCAAAGCCATCTAAAACTAAAATTCCCTTTCCAAGTCACAGGTATAAATAGAACATCTACTCAAAAGCAACTTACTATCAGCGATGTCTTATTTCTCCAGTGATTGTTACGTTGAATAGGGGCACCAAATAGAAAAAAGGTACCATTTTAACCTAAACTATAACGGATGGAGACATTCGCAATAGGGAGACCGAAAGTTTACATCACAGTTAACCAGGGCAGATTTTTTAAACATATTCAGCTTATTCTTCTCTAAGCCCAAGCGATTTTACTCGATGTCAATTATCTTTTCGCTTCCTCGTGAACGCATACACTCGGGTTTTCTGGAACATGGCTATCAATCGTAGGGTAAAATGCTTTTCTTTTTTTTCTTTTTCTTGTTTTTCTTATTTTTTGGATATGGGTCTAGCGCTTTAAGCGTGAGGAGATTGTTTTTTCTATCCATGCGTACGTCCACGCGTGCACGTAAAACCCGAATGAAAAAAAAAAATGAAAACGGTCTAGACTTGGGTTTGCACGCATCCACGTGATTCTTCCACGATTGTTTACATGCACGCAAACAGTCCACAATCGAGCGAGTCATGAGTTACCGCAGCAGCTCGTGACGCGCGAGTCCTTTTCACGCGCAAGTAGTTTTAACGCGCCAATGGTGACCGGTTGACATAATGTTACACCAGGAAGAAATGCGCGGGAAGCAGCAGCCATTTGATTAGATATGTCTGGACCGGGGCTATAGGTGTTGATATAAGAGATGTAAAAAGAGAAAACAGACATCGTTTACACAACGTCCAGTCTTTCTGCTGTAACATTCACACATGTAACATCCTAAAACTCTCCTCTCCTAACTGCAAAAGGCCCAAACATCGCTCCACGTGGTTTTCCAATCCTAGGTTTGACTGAGTGTGTGAAATGTTTTACAGCATGTACTATTGGGCCTAGCTGATTTTCAAGAAATCAGAAAGCGACAGAAAAAAGAAAGAGGGATTGAGTAGGTCGCGGGAATTTTTCAAAACCGTTGTTGTGATTGTTGTTGCTGTTTTCTTTTTTGATCTGTTTTGTTTGACTGTTTGTTGTTTTTGATGGAATTTTTGTAACATCTGCGAGTTAAAATTATTAACGGGCTTAAAAAGAAGTCTGAAATAACAGCGACTGTACCAGACTCAACAGTCCGACTGCGACATAATCTTTGAAAACCTTAACGGGAAAGTGGGTGACTGAAACGGTGGAAGGGGGAAAGGAAAGGTTGGGGGAAGGATCTGGGCCCAGGTGCTCAAAGGACGGATAACGCTATCTTACGCATGAATCCAAGGTAGCTGTTACAGAACGTACGGCGCTATCCACCTGGGTCCAGTTGTGTAAAAGTCGAATAACGTTATCCAACAGATAAATCGCTATCCAGTGAATAAGTGATAGCAAAAGGTATGGCGTTATCCACCGGATAGAGATGTATCGAGCGGATAGTTTTATTCGAACTTCGAACAACTGATAGCGATTTATCAAGTGGACAGCGTTATCCACCCTTTGACCGAGGCCTGTACAATTGTGAAAGGAAAAGAACACATCTTACCGATCTTGACCTGGATTTATCATCGGACACTTCGTTTTTACCACTGCCCTTCTCGCTGTTGCTGTGGTGACTGGACATCACCACTCCCGGATTGGAGTTTAGGGAGCCGTATTTACTGAGCGAGCCGTAGCCTGATGACTCAGATGATGTATCTGCAAAACAAGCACAAACAGGTCCATTTACACAATTGCTTTGCTTTCTCTACGCTTTAAAACTAGCAAGTTTTTTTCCTTGGTAGATACACTTTTCCCTGAAGCCTTGCTGGAATAAAAATTTCCCAAACACCCCTCTAAAATTTGCTCTGCAGTTGTCCTAACCAAAACATCCACACGAGCAAATTTAACATTGACAACAGGCATATCAGTTTTGTGAACTTAAGGTACTTGTCTAGCAAAAACTTTTCGAGAACTGCAAACTACTCTCCATGCATTTCTAGACACCCTGGTTGAGAGAAAGTGAGCAATAATCCTTGCGAAAACATAAAAGTCAGTGAGGCTCTAATGGGCGAAGTAAACGTTGTAAGCATCACTGAGTCTGCGTAAAAAATCCAGTCGTTCATCACACATGCGTCTAACTAACAGCGCAAGAACGAGCCAGTAATGACGATCGTGATAAAGACATTCACGAGGACAAAACCTAGAAAACAAATGCCTAGCTGTGTATCTTTAATGCAAAATAACTCCAAGGCTTAAAAGTACAAATTCAAGAAAAAACCATAAACCAGGGCGTTGACAACCGACTGAAGTCTCAAACCGTCTACTCCCATCCCTCTCTCCATCTATCCATCAAACTAAGCTACCTCAAAAGACTGAATAGGACACATTGCCCTACGCGAGCAATGAATTGCGATGCGCTTTTTCACTGTGAGGACGGTTTCAATAGTTTCGCAAAACCTCTTTCCCACAACTGACTAAAGAGCCAGAATTTTCTTGATCAATAACCTACAAAACCCCCTTCTCCACGCTGCCCTCTCCCCTTCAGGCAGAATAAAATAACATATAACTACACCAACACAAAAACAAAATAAAAAATAATCAGTGACGATCAAGTAAAATCAAACGCGTTGCTATGAGAGACAAGCCGGATATAGCGAATTCTTCCCTGGTAAGACGGTAGGTACTTTCCGCTTTGCTGAAATGTCTACGTTACACCATCACGCTTACATGTCACACCATCTCAAGGTAAGTAGAGATCTATGTTAATTCCATAAGTTTAAATATGTCATCAGAGGGCTACAATAATCATTACAAGGTTCCCTACCACGTGGAAATAGCTTTTTCCAAGTCCAGCAACATATACAAAAATTACCTTCCACGTGGAACGCAAATTATTGAAACCAGTAACGTGCTGTGGTAGTACTTGCTAATTTTAACGAGAAGCACACTTAAGCAGCAACACTGACCTATTCCATGCTATCTAAAGAAAAACAGCAAGTGCGAGATGTTGTCACGTGAATGTGTAAAGTCAAGCCAAAGTCGCATCACTCAGAAACTACCTTGGTAAAAACTTAAGTATTAGCTTGTCCAGACACCTGAGTGCTTAAAAAGTTTCAGCTCCAACAGCAAGGAGGTGAGGTTTTTTCACAAGGCAAGTAAATCAATACCGAGAATACTGGAATATTAAAAGAGATAAAACATCAACAATATCATGTCCACTCCGCTATAACTGCCGCCAAAAACTTAAAAAAAAATGAAAAAACCACATTTGAATTCCTGATAGATTAGTGAATATCGAAGATGCTGTTTAAAATGTTGTTAAACAGAGAAGCTCAATAGATTTTAAACTTGCTTGGACATATCTAGTACCGGCGGAGAGGAGAGTACCTTTCTCATCGCTATAATTACGCATTTCATGTACGTCTCCTCCAAACAATGTTTCACAAATTGAGATGCTTTTTGAGATAGAGACGAACTCCTATGAAACGAACAAACTAGCAGAGGTATATTTTCACAAAATAAGTTTTAACACATAGAAACAAGCGAAAACGAGAATTGAAATAGGATTTCAGACACAACCACGAAACTGTGACATGATGAAATCGATCGCGAGAGTCACTGGAAGGTTGCAGAACAAAACAATCTGATTACATTTAGTATTTTAAACTATTTACTCTGTTTAACCTTATAACGGGAGAGACAAAACTTTTTAAAATCTAGGCTTTTGAATGTCAAATAGTTTTCCTTGCTTTTGAAGAAGATGGAGATATAACCACTCATCGTCGTTACAACGGGACAGTTCAAAATAACAAATGATATCTATCGGATATAAGTAAAAAACTGGCCAAACCTTTTAGTACAATTGTAAATATTTGCACAAAGATCTAAAAATAAGTTCTTGCTTACGCAGAGCATCTTCACCCTCGGAAAAGGAGAGTACGTCAATAAAAAATGCTTTAAATTATCATATATCTTCCACCTCGATGGCATCTTCTTAGAAATAGCATGTTACCTTACTTTGCACATATCCGTTTTAATAACATGTCCTTCTTAAGTTGAATGTTATATCCTTGAAAAAATCTACTATCCCTACTTTTCACAAGCAGCTTGCAGTACGCAAAGATATCTCGCATAAAGCCTAAATATAACTCTACAAATTCAAATGCGTACACGTTGCTTCTCAAAGCCTTGAGTTAGCGATCAGTTTGCAAAGGCTAGCATGAAGATATTCAATAAAGTTATTTGGTAGCTTTATCTGAGTTATTGTTGCTGTCCTTCTTGCCCCGTCCGCTCAGTCGCAGTATTCCAGCCAGGAAGATCTCGCTATACCTTCTGACTATACTTGAACTTGTAACCTCATCTGAGTTCAGGAGTAGCATTGGATAAAAAGACTCTCAAAAAACACAATACTAAAGTTGTTTGTACTCTGTTCCTTCCATCGTTATTTCATAATTACCTGACAACTTCCATAATGTATCATCTAATTCAAATCAACCAAGCAAGCAAACCAAGCCAGAGCAACAAGGTAATTTAGTATTATCAGCTGAGTTGATAACGTAAGTTGGCTACCGTAAAGAGTTTAAAAGCTGACGTTTCGAGCGTCAGACCTTCGTCATTCGCTCTGAAGAAGGGCTAACGCTCAAAACGTCACATTTCCCCTCCCTCCCCCCCTTTCCTATTCCTGTCCATCATTCAGTACCATGTCTACATGAACTTCCTATTAGGACCCAAAAAAGAAAAAGAAATGCAACTTCAAACGCTCAGTGTGTAGAGGACTGTTACTCCTTTTGTCTCACCTGTAGCTGATACACCCCCTTCCGTATCAAGACTCCACCAACATTCCTCCTGGCCACCCCCTTCCCTAAAAGGCCCATCATTCAGTACCACGAATTGTTAACGGTGCTATAACATGATTCTGTGAGACTTAATTTCTAGATGAGCACTACTGCTGCCTGTAAAACCTCTCAAAAAAAGGCACGCTACAAGAAAAGTAAGGATTCACATTTTGACCACTGATACTCAGTGGCCACAATGTGAGAGATTTCCGATCGAGTGTCGAGACTTGTCGGGATATCCTCATTTTTGCTCTTCTAAGTTTTGTGATTGATTAAAAAAACAACTCGCACCTTCAACTCAACCAATCAGATGCTCAATGCAATCTGGTTACCAGTATTTTGCCGCGTTTCAGAAATAGGTGATTATAGTCATTTTCTTTGATATCTCAATGGCCTCTAGAGATCCTGAAGGCCTTTGTGTTATGTCGCATTTTGGTTTCGGTCTAACCACACTCAATCAAACACCTCTCTTAAAATTATCGACGTTGAAATATACATCAAAAAAGTTCTGTTTCTCATATAGTTACCTGAATAATTTCGGAATTGATCCTCTAGGAGCGCTAAAAATAAAGCATACTAGCAAGATGAGTCATTAGGTACATTAATTAATATATAGATTTAGCCAAGCCTAAAAGCGGAGCTCGCATTTTTTTTTCCCGCACGTCTCAAGGGCACAACGCCTTGCCCCGGCCAGGACTAGAACCCGGGTCGTGCGACTCGGAGCCCAGTGCACTGACCACTGGACTACTGAACAAAGCCGTGGCATTGGCGGTACAGTTGACCACGCATGTTAAAAGTAGCACCTTGTTACGGTCGTACATCCAAATTTTTTTGGCTTGATGGGTTACTACTATTTTGTATAACTATGGGGCTACGCTCTGCGAGCTCCGCTATTACAGAGTGACTTAATGCCAGTCCTTCCAACGAATTGCAAACGGTAGCCTTTCTTAATTATGCGACGGTAGATGGATAACTCTTTTCGTGTTGGGATTCGGATTTCTTCTCTGTCCCGCGCTCACTGAACACGAATAACAGCTTTCTTTACTCGAAGACCATTATCAAAATTTACCGTTTCTGTTATTCCTATCCTACATTTGTGCATATCATCCTTACTGCTTCTGATTTGAATTTATTGCAATTCTATCTTTATGTACCTTGTGCTTCAATCGTCAGGTTTTCGACTCTGGCCACTTGTTTCGGTTTCTTGCCACTGAAGTCACGACAGTTTATATCCGCTTCTGTGCGATAACAAATTCAAAATCACCGTCAGTCAAATGTCGTAACCTTGCGGATAATGTGAAAGTTTCAATGCTTATACTACTATTGCGGTAGAATAAAAATAAAAAGTTTTTAACTCACCATACTCAGAGACAAGCATTTTTATGACAGCGTCGCGTCCGTGCATGGCAGCGAGATGAAGTGGAGTGTATCCCTGAGTAAGGAGGAACAATGATCACAAAATTGGCTACTGTACTGGAAAATTCGCCGCGCGATTTCGCATAAAGGGCGAAATCACCTTTAAGTAAAAGAAGCTACCCAATAGTTTGTTTGGTGCGATAGAAACACTTAAATGGACAAAATTCACTAAGACTAAGGATAATGCTGAAGGATGACGAGGATCAAAGAAAAGAGTGTAAATCCCACAATAAGACATTTTGGTTCCAGGTTCAAGAGGAAGACAAAAACTGAAGCCTTTTTTTAATAAATATAGATTAACAGTTACAAGAGAATGACTTACCCCCTGAGAGATATGTTGAAGTAATCCATGGAGTAAACAAAAAAAGAGAGAGAGAAACAACACCACATCAGTATTCGTGGAACATCTCAATTACAATTTCTACTAAATCAAACTTCTACACTATAAAAAAGATTAAGATATAAAGTATCATTAAGCCAGGAAATCAACAATAGATGGTTAAGAATAACTCGACTGTTACTTACGTTCTGTTCAACAGGATAATAACCAGGATTATGAAAGAAAATATCAAAAGAAAAAATCCCGGTTATTCATGCAACCATTCAGGCAACGTTAAAATACGCATAACACAGGATTAATAAAAATCGTTTTTTTCCACAGTGTTTAGTTTGACTACTCTTCCAAATGATAAAAAAAAACAAAAACAAACAAAGATATCGTTCAAAGCTTTTTCCTTAACAAAAAATATTACCAACGAGTTACAAACTAAAACTTTTTGCGGGCAATCCTTGCCCGGTTGAGTAACGAATCAGAACACAGCATCTGCTTAATTTTACCTAGTTAGGTAACCAATCAGAAAAAAGCGTTGCTTCACCTTGGTTGATTGAGGATCGTGTCATTTTATAAAAATTGATATCATTTCGATATAAAAGACCAAAAGAGAGAAAAAACTTCCATACCGTTCTAACATTCACATCAATTCCTGTACTAGCTAGAAGCTTCACAATGTCGGCTCTTCCATGCTTGGCTGCCCAGTGGATTGCACTCTACAGAGAGTCGAGTAATTTCCATCAGCATTACCCTTCATTCTTTTGTCCAATCCCACACTTATAAAGTTACCAGAACCTTGCTATGAGAACGTACACCCGTAAAGCTTTATTAACTTGAAGCGAAGTTTGAAAATAATCATAATCACTTTTAAAAATATATATATTAATAAAGATGGAAATAATTATTACAATGAGAGCTGGTATAAAGAGAGAAGTCACAAAGAAAAAGTGATGCCCCACAAATACAAATATCACAAGCATGTCAAAAAAAAGTTCCCACGTTTTACTTTTTTGCCATTACATTTGTGACATGTACCAGTACATCTTAGGGAGAGGTTTTGTTACTATTCTTTAATTAATGTAAATGTACACGTATTGCTCAAAATTTATATCAAATAAATAATGTACTTACATACTATAGTTTTGAAGAACCAGCAAGGGAAGGATCCAGATAATTTTTAAAGAGAGATGTACATATGAAAGAGAAAAAAAAAATGTTATAATTAATTCATGTACAAACAACACAATAGCCTCAGTTCATTGACAGCTTCATGATTTGGCTAGCAAAGAATTTTCTTCAATTTGATGATTATGATTTATAAAAATACTTTGAAGTGAATATTCAGTAATATTAGCACATTTTAATTGATTGACATTTATCTTAATCAAAGATATTTCCATCATTTTGTTTCAATGCATGTGCAATAAATTCTTTGTCAAAATGAGCTCCATTTGACTTTAAATATCCTTCATATAATCCTTTACATATCCTTCAAAAAAGTGCACTTTGATCAAAACCTGTATGTGAAACACCACTGTTCAGACTTTGTATTCCACACACAAAAATTTCCAAAATACAAATTAGCATTGTACTCACCCCCTTTAAACATGCGATGAAAAGAGAAACAGAGAAGAGTTAGTGCCTGACTTTGACAAGATAAATATCACTCAGCTATACATTATAAATTGGCAAAGGGGACAAACATCATCTAAAAAACAACAATAATTAACAATTGGTTCATACATCAGCATGCGTTCATTGAGATATGAAGCATGCAGGAATTTTGGAGAGCACGAAAGATGCATAAGAGTTGCTTGAGGCTACACCTCAAGCAACTCTAGCTTCTTGAGTTTTCTCCTAACTTCCCAAGTGCTTCATATCTCAATGAACACATAGCTGGTGTATGAACCAATTGTTTTATAACATTTTCAACCCAATGGAAAATTTTTTTTCTCGAGGGATTTGTTTTCTGATGTCATGAGTGTGCAAAATAGGAATATGAAGCATGCTCGCACAATTGAATTTGATTAGACAGATTTACTAGCTATGTTGTAACAAAGTATTGTACATGTCATAATTATATTTTCACAATAAAATTCTAATAAATAAAGAACAAAAATCATACTTATAATAAACAAATATATTTACATACCTGCATAAAGTCCTAAAACAATAAAGAAAATAGCATACTTTCAGAGTTTGACAATAAAATACATCCATGAAGAACTACTTCTTCCATTCTGTTGTCATGTCAGAAATAATTCAGCTTCAATATTTTTAAGGACTAGAAAATATTGAACCAAACACCACCAAAAAGTGTGAGAAATTACAGTGTAGTATTGTTGTAATATTGTATCAATCTTTTTGCAGCCATAAGAACCTTTACACATACATAACCATATCAAATTGTGATTCAGGTGAAACTTACTTTTTTAGTTGCTAAGTTAGGATCCTGTTCCAAGAGACACATGATCTGTGCCCTATTTCCTTTAGCTGCTGATACAAGCCACTCTTTCTCTAGAGGTTCCAGCTACAAAATATTAAGTCCAAAGAATCACTATCAACTAAATTCCAGATATGAAAAATAAATCAGGTATCGAGAAAGTACCTGTTTGTGAAATACAAAAATTGCAGTAATACTCAAACAACTAAGACTCAGCAGTGTACATTGATACATGTATTAAGTTTCTTGTGGTAGTGGGTGGATCAGAGGGCAGAATGAGCCATTTACAGCAATTATTTCAGGCTTTGCATTATTCTTTACATTGATTCCCAATCATTTCTCTCATGTATCTTTTGATCCCTCTCTTTGCTCATCTCCACAAACTGCTGAGATCCTGAAACAGGCTACAAGGCTTATACTCATCAGAGTATAACTTACTACAACATACATGTAATAAGTACAATGAAACCTTACATGTGCTGTTGGTCCTCCCATTAAAAAGTCATCCCCTATTAGATACAAAAAGACATTATAATTATGCAAAATATTTAGAGTGCCACCTTAACAACATCATACTTCATGCAAATAGCTCAAAATAAATATTTTTCAATATGCACAAATAGTGTACCCTTTGAACCCCCAGGAATGACCAAAACAAACAATATACTTCCAACATCAATGCAATTCCAAGCGCAAGGAATATGTGATACAAAAAATATCACCTTGAGGATAACGTTTCATTTGACACCAAATCCTCAGGTTTACCCAACATGGAGAATTAAAAAACCCTTTGTCACCTAAATCTGCAGAGAGGTAAGGTTATTTAATAAAATACTGATCAACAAAACAATCTCACCAGAATTTTTTATAAATGTTACAAAAAATTGTTTTATTTTTCCCTTTTGAGAAGAGAAAGGAGTGATGGAAATTGAATGCATCAGACAGTAAGACTACACTGTAGGTCACAGAAGCCCATTTTCATTATTCCATAACAGCATTTGGTGCCAGAATTCCGTGTCCTGACACTCATATACTCATTATCTACTATAAGTGATAGCCACCAGCAAAATTAATATATACACATGAAATACACATAAAAACTAAAATTTGAAATTTGTTGATTATTTCCTACAATTCTTTCTATTTTTATCTACTCGTAGACTTAAAGGGGAGCTGAACAGCACGCAAAGAGTGCTCATTGAGAAGTTCTTGTTCTATAAATTATAAAAATGAATGGCCACTCTAATAACGGCAGTTGATTGTCTATAAATGTATTTCACAGCTGGGAAAAATGATTTCACATAAGAAAACTGGGTCATCTTCACACGGCTGCCAACACATTTTACATTTTTCTATGTTATCACTGACTCTAATTCAGTAATCTTTATAATTCACATGAAGTAAACAGTCCAGAAATAATCATGCTTGCTCACCAAACAAATAATCAAGAGAGAGTTCAAAGCATTAAAATTCAAAATTACAAGAAATTCTACATCTAAATTGAAGTTTCTGCGCAGATTAGCAGCAAGAAATAAATATATTTGGGCAAATACCCAAGAAAGGGGGAAATCTGAGATAGATTTGACATTTTTATGAACAGTTTTCATAGGAAAAAGTCTTATTTCAGAGTTAATATATAAATATTAACCACTCACTAGTTTTTCTCCTCAAACGTTTGGCCATGTGAAGGAACCACCATAACTAACAGATTTAAAGCCTTTAAATTCAACAATTGCTTTTGATCTCAATACAGCACATGTGCCTAGGGTCCCACTGTGATTTATTGCAGTAGTAAATGCATTCAAATCTTTTAACGAAACCTCAAAACCCTTGTTGTGAGCCTCAATCCATTTGTAACAGCAGTCATAGCAGGTGCCAAGAATACATGATCAATTATTGAAACAGGAAAGAAATCAATATACCCAGTTTATGAAACACTTCCATTAGCATAATTAGAAATTGAAAATTTTGCAATTCATTGACTCATGAAATTTGCCACACAAAAAAAAAATATGACTGGGTTCATTAAACTTAGAAGGAGTACAAAATATATCAAAATTCTGTAAAGCTGTAGTGGTATTGCAGTACCTAAAACACAGGATCAAACATGCCACAAAATCCATTTCAAATAAAAAATTAACAGAATTCAAAGTCTGTGGATCTAAACTTCATGATCTAGTGACAGAGAAGCTTCTTGTGAAGACTAACATTACATATTTTCATTGTAATAATCAACTGCTTGAACTTAAGTGTAAAATAAATACACAACATCTTCATGAAGGATTTTTTAGATATTTAATAAACAATTCAAAATTAATATTCGCTAACACAAAATATCAGTTTAAAGAGGGTAATGACCCCACAAAAAATACAGATGACTCTTTCATGTATACCACATTTGCATGTAGTGTTATGGTACTAATGATGTATTTATCCTTCTTTGATTAAAAATGTCAAAATAGACAAATAATCTAATGTAGCAGAGCTATTAATATCTTTCATTTATTTTCTCGAATTTGTTGGTCTCAACATGTCACCACTAGAAAGTTGAGTTTTTGTCAATATAACTTCTTTGGTTTGAATTTTTTTTTTCATGTTTTTTTCCTTTGTTTATATACTATGTAGGTTGGTTAGTTTGTTGGCTTGTTCATTTGTTTTAATTTTTTGCTCAGGAATACAGCTTAAGTTGAACATGTAGTCTGATTGTCTCAGTGAAAGGAGTCCTGGAAGGATTTTAGTCAGTAGCAGTGACATTTTGACAGCCCAGGTAGCAGTCTTCATCAGAGTAAAGTACCATACTTATTGTCTTGACAAAACTTAAAATTCAACATCAACTCCAAGAAACATGAAGATTATAGACATGTACACCTCAGGGAGTGCTTAACAAAGTAGCTAGAATCAACAATCTTTTTTATAAATAATACACTGTGTGACACTAACCTTCTGCATCGTCATCCATTCGATCCTAAGGAAAAGATCCAATGTCATAAGGTTGTGTATTATGATATACTTCATTTAGTTGTTGTGGTTCAAATTAATCCTTTGTTCAAAATCATTCTATACCATTTTGATCTATTGTTTTATTTGTGAAGTGCTCACTGTGACAATCATGACTGAAGACAACAAAAAAACTGCTTTTACAAATGTATAACACTTGAAGGAAATATTTGAACCACAACAG